AGTTTTGATTTTCTAAGAAAATTAAGATTGAAGGCTCTTATTTAGGAGTTGAGATCTTGTGGACGTAATTTACTCTTGCCATGCAAAGTAATCTTGGGTTTATTTTTCGTACAAAACAAATTACAAAAAAAGTGTTACTTTATTTTATTTTTTTCATGTAAGATTCTTAGTATTGTTGTCTTTCATATTAATTTATATTTTCTTTGAGTTTTAGTTTGAATTTGAAGGTTATTAAAGCAAAGGGAGTTTGTTATAAGAATTTTTCAAAAATAAAAATAAATATTTTATTATGTATTTTATATTTGAGTCTCTTAAAATTAAAAGGTTAGAGCATCTCTTGTGAAAATTGCAACCAACTTAAAAAAACAATAAATTAACGTAGATGAGAAGAGAAAATAAAAAAATAGTTTTTTTTTTAATTTATTAAAAAAAATCAATGAAATAAAATCAACATTAAATTACTTAAAAATGACTTAACTCAGTTAATTCCTATTAGATTATATATATATATATATATATATATATATATATATATATATATATATATATATATATATATATTTAACTCAATATAAAATAATTTGATTTTTAGATTAAGTGATGAATGAAATTGTCAAACATTATATGAATATTAAAGATATAACTTGATTTTAACCCCACAAATTGTACGTTACGTTCCCTATTAATATTAAATGGGCCAAACAAACAATATTAAATGGGCCATACAGGAAGCCGAATAATGCAATCAAAACTTCATGTGATTTCTTCAAGAAAGAACAAAATAATACTGCAAGCAAGTCCAAAAATAACTCAAGTAAATATCATAGAAATTCTGATAATAATAATAATAATAATAATAATAATAGTTATTGGTTTATGAGAATTATGTACGAAAAAAATATTAAAATTTATACAAGATTATTGTTATTTATGAATAACAAAAGTTCATTAATAAAAATAATTATTATTGTTGTTGCTTTTCTTTCTTATAAAAATAAAAACCTAAAAAAATTGTCTTAATTTTCATTTCCTTGCTTCGTTCTTTCCTTTCCCATTCGTCTCTTTCCATTTTTGTCCCAAACATAACATATAATATCACACAACATCATTTCTTTTTGCTTACAGAAGAAGTTATATATTCCTTCTATTTCAAAATCACTAAGTTTTAATATATATAAAAAAAAACATATGGAAGGGTATTTTCAGTTTTTATCAAAATATTATAAAATTTGCATCAAATAAATTCCTTTAGTTAAATAAATTTTTAATATTGTTGCTACCAAATTTTTAACCACCTTAAAAAATATATTTAAACAAATAAAATTATTTTTAAGAATAAAAAAACTCTCAAAATAATCATTTTGTTGCATAGTATTCGAAATACTACAAATTATATATATATATATATATATATATATATATATATATATATAAAAGAATGAAGGTTAAGTTATATAAGATATTTATTTATATATTTATATATTATTTTTAAATTTACTATTTATCTTTATATATATTATTATTTTATATTAGTTATTATATTTTTTATTATTATGATATTTTAGGTTTTATAGAAAGTGACTTAGATTAAAAGAAAAATCGTCCTATCATTATTTTTTATATAATTTTTTTGTTTAAAAATTGACTTGAATATTTTAGTATCTTTCTAAATAGATATATGTTTTTTTTAATAAATTGTTTTCATCTAAATTTAAAGAGACTACTTGAATGTTGATATAGAGTTTTGATTTCTTATTAGATTTTTATTATTTATTAAGAATATTTTTATGTTTATGAATGTTAAAACGAGTTAAGTTTAATAGGCGGTCAATCAACCTACAAAAAATGATTAGATGAGTTATTGATTTGAATCTATCAATTCGTTTTGTCTTATCCCCGTCTAACTTATCAATTTAGAATATTAGTCAACTTTAACAAAATATTTATATATTAAAATTTAATTTTAAATTATTACATTTTTTATAATATCAATAAAATAAATTATAATATTATACTTTAAATTATAAAAATTAATTAATTAAATTAAAATAAATGATTATAATTAGTTATTTTAATATATAAATATGATATTTTTTAATTTATCTAATAAAATATTAATTAGTAGATAAAAACGTTAAAATTATTCATATAATTAAATATATATTTTAAAAAAATATATATATAAAAAAATTATATAAAGAAAAACTATTAGACGAATTAGCTTTATTGTTCTTCTAATTGTTCTTCTAATTATAGTAAGTCAGTTTATCCCATCTTATTTTGTATGAACTAAAAATGGGATAAAACACATAGGATTTATAAACTAAAATTTTACTTTACTTATCTCTTAATTTCAATTAAGATTATTTTTTATATAATTATAAATCTAATATTATTTAAATTGAAGACTCAAAATAATTTATATATATATATATATATATCTTTGTTTTTCTATAAAGATATTTTTAAATCAAAACTATAGTAAATTAAAATTTTAAAATAAAAAAATATTAAATATAATAATAAATATTAATGATGATAAGGTAGTATATATGATCGTAATACTTTAAAAGAATAAAAATATATTATTAATCCATAATAATTTAATAGTAAAATATTTTTATTCATTCATAAATAAATTCTTAAAAAAAATTAATAAAAAACAATTATACAAAATCTTAACATAAAAAAGTAAATAAGAATGGCAATGGTTGGAGGTGAGGAGAGAGCGCACGTGCAAGGGGCAGGAGGGTAGTGGCTGACCGTGATGTACGGGCAGCTGTTGTGGGTCCGCAAGACAAGGACAAGCGAATAGGAGCGCCAGCAAGAGCATGAGTCAGGTGGGTCCCAATTTGATGGTCCTTGTCCCCTTCTCTTTCACTGTGGGTCCCTTGCCCCGTCAGCTCCATGTTTGCTTTTCTCAACTTTTTTCCTTCTCTCTCCATCTCCATTTATTTCTTCTCATTCAAATTAAAAAAAAAACTTTTCTTAGATCTTCTTCTCGATGCATTGATTCGCCATATTATTACAAATTTTAAATTATAAAAATAAGGGGAAATTACAAATGATTTAATTTATTATTTTATGATTATTCTAGAATGGTGGGAAGTGAGGGGCTGGTTAAAGCAACAGCCATAAGTGGTAGGTGGGGCCATGCACAGCGTAGATATCATGAGTTTGTTTGATTTTGATACTATGGGACTCACCAAATTACCTTCATGCCCTTTCACTTACATGATTTTCTCAACTTTTTCGAAACCAAAAATGTGTCTTGGCATCATAAAATGCCACAAAATCAAATGTCATGCACATTTTCAAAAGTTCTCGTGCTTTATTCACTTCCTTTTTCAAAATTAATTTAACTTATTCAATCACATAGGAAAGTTTTATAGGAAATCGAGGGAGGTGATTTTTTGTTTTGTTTTTTCTCTACGTAAATTTCACATAGGAAAGTTCTCGTGTTTTTCCATTGAGTTTCATCTTTATTGTCATGCCATATTTTTTAGATTTTACATTATTAATAAATAAACATGTTTGCATAATGGTTCTGAAATGTTTTTTTTTTCAATAATATATTGAACCTTAAGAATGAAAATTTTGATATATTAAACCAAATGTAAGGTTGAGAATACAAATTTTCTTAAAGTCTAAGCATACGTCATGCAACCCTAAAACAAAAGCATGTGTAATAATAATAATATATCTAAAAGTATAGACCTCACATGCAAGTTGTATCTTAGGAATTCATAGCAAGCAAAAGAAAGATTCTGATTTCATAGGTTTTAAGTTAATTAGGGTTTATAGACATTTTCCATGACACCCAAGATATGCTCATCCCCGTTGTGCCTTTAATTACATGACATTTCATCATTTCCCAAGTGCCACGTTCTGTTCATTCCAGAAAACACAGTTTCATCAAATAGTTAAAAAAGAAGAAAAGAAAAAAGTGAAAGGATTCTGTTGGGCATGGAAGAGTCCAAGTGAAGAGAACCTTGTTAGTTTTGGTGTTTTTGGAATTGGTGGAGACATGATGCATTTAGAGAGTGGAAAAGATGACCCATTTAGGAGTGTAGTACAAATACTCATCAGAGGAAGGACCAAATATTAAAAAGGTTATTTAAAGTGGAAAGGTCTTTTTGGGAAAAGGTGTACATGGTGCTGCAACTGCTCCCAATGTTTCAACTTCTAACTTCATCACGTATTAATTTTATTTTTTTTATTCATATACAATCAAATATATTCCTCATTTTATGTGAAAAATTACAGTGTGATAATATTAATTAGACTATTATTTGTTATACAATAAAAATTATTTTCTTAAACGCTATAATTTATTTAATAATTTAATCAATTCAACAGATACTTTATATAAATAGATAAAAATTGAAATTTTAATTATTTATAATAAAATGAGGTTATTCTGGTACAACTTTAATTGCACGCATTTATCTAACAGATCACATGTGATTGATTTTATTATATTCATCAAAATTGTGCTTCCCGCAATTAATCACAACTACAAATCTTTATGTTTATATATATATATATTATATATATCATTCTTCATGTTTATCATTTAAAAATTAATAGTAATAAATAAATAGATATGATTAAAGTAATAGTTTTTTTTAATAAATAAATAGTGCTATTAGCTTAGTAGTTGACCAATTTTTCAAGTTTAGCAACTTTGAAAATATTTCAAGAAGGTATTAAAATTTCTGTAGTAAGAAAAATAGAAAAATAGGGTAAAATATAAGCATAGTATTAATATAATATTAAAGCCTCATGATTGGTGGAGAGTAGGAGTATAGTCTGCAATGAGCACCACCTTATATAATCCAATTCTTGTTAACCTCTCATTATATAATAGCAAATTTTCTTTGGTTCCATTCCCTGTATTTTCTAGCTCTTTCTCTCAACTCTTCATATCTATGGCTACCTTTCCATCTTCTTCTTCTTCTTCTTCTTCTTCTTCTTCTATTCCTTCTCCAAGATCTAGCATGTTTTACTATGCTGGAAGTGAAGACCACTACGAGGAGCCTCACTTCCTCCAAGCTTGTTTTCTTTGCAGAAAACCACTTGGCCAAAACCGTGACATCTTCATGTACAGGTTAGGTCAATTTCCATTCAATCCAACTCTTTCATCTGTTTCACCCTACCCCAGATTGCTGATTCTTGTTGATTCCTTCAACTCTATCTAAATTTTCATTTTTACACTGAATTTCCATGTGGGGTATGAGAAGAAGTGCTGAGTTTTCAGATCTAGAATAAACTACACGCAATATTTCTTTGATTAGCTTGAGAATTGAGACTTTTGTTGATTTCCTTTTGCCTGGGTTGATTAATCAATATGTCCAAAGATTTGGTTTTTTATAATTTGAATGGTTTAACTTGATGCTGGTGTTGGTGTTTACTAGGTTGATTTGGATTTGTAATGAGTGTTTGGGAATTTGTTGTTATGCAGAGGGAACACACCATTTTGTAGCAAAGAGTGCAGGCAGGAGCAAATAGAGTTTGATGAGGCAAAGGAGAAAAGTTGGAAGCTTTCTTCCAAAAGGGGTGTGAGACAATCAGAGACCAATCAGAAGTCCACCCCCAATAAGGCTGTAAGAACAGGCACAGTGGCAGTGGCCTAATCAAGGAACAATCCATGACATGATGATTGATGAATATGAGTGGGGAAAAGGGTCCAATTTTTTGGAAGTGAAAAGGATGGAATGGAAAATTCCAAAGGAAGAAGAAGAAGAAGTGAAATCAATAATGGAAGATTCTGATGAACCGGGATGAATCTTCTCTGCCTTTGTAAAGAAAAAAAGTTGAGGTTTTTCCATTGTGAGAAAAAAAGTACCCAACAAAGAATTTTGGCTCCTTTTGTTTCTGTTTTTAATTTTTTGGTAATATTGATTTGACCCTTTTATTTTTACTCTTTCCCTCTTCCTCCATTGAGTTTTCCATAAGAAAAAAAAAAAGAATCTTGGATATATTGATGAGATGGTGTTTTGTTTTCCTGAAATTTTTTATCAAAGATTCTTCATCCAAGATCTAAACCCTAAACTTGGTTACTTTCTTCCAAGAACATGTATCCATGGCAAATTTTGTTTCCCTTAGTCACTAAAAATTCATTCTCATGTCACCTCAAATCTCAATTGAACCAACAAGATTTGTTTTTTTTTTTTGGGTCTAAATATAAAGAGTTTGGATCCTTAAAATTATAAAATCTAGGAATTCTTGCATATGAAAAAATTACTTGGAGCATGTTAGTCAAATTTGACATCTTTATTCTCTCGTTATGAATATTTTTACCACCAAAATATATCTTTCAACTGGAAAATTCTTTCATAGATAACAACCTTTTTTTTCAGTATGAATATTTTCTCAAGTTGAATTTAATTTAATTTGATTTGATAAGTTTGAGATAATTTAGGGTTCCAAACAATTTGATTCAAGTAATTAACTTAAACCAATTTAATGATGGAGAGTCCACATAAAGCCAAAATTTTAATGAAACTAAATAAGAAAGCTTCAATTTCACTTAATATAATTACCAAACACAACATGGTTTGATTAAATTTTATCAAGTATAATTATGTTTACACGTTATTTATTTCATTCAAAAATAGTATTAAACAAAAGTAGCAAAATCAATTAAATAAACTTAATAATATAAAATATATTATTTAATATATGCTGTTGACAATTAACAAGAAAGAAGAAACTCTCTGAATTCAAAATAAATACTAAGCAAAAGATAAATTAGTGTAAGAAGATGAACAACACCATTTTTTTCACACAAAAAAAAAAACAAAAAATCATGGGGTCAAATCTAATAAAGACTCTCACTGTTAAATATAATTAATGTAAATAATTTTTTATTGAAAAAAAAAACAATTTTCTAAAAAATACAATAGAAAAATCTTGAATGTAGGCTTTCTTGAATGAAAATCTCCTAGGATTATTTATTTGAATATATAATAAAGAGAATTAAATTTAAATTTCCAAAACACAAACTCTTCTCATACACCTTACTATCCATTAATAACTTCCCAAAGCTTTTTCATGGGTTATATAGAGGAATTTTCTTACAACTCATACAACATAAAAAAAAAATATATATTAAGTGTTCTTTGTTTGGTTTTTCAAAATCTTCAAGTTACTCTGATTAAGAAGTACATGTATTACATTCTACACAAACCTATTTCAATTCTTGCTCATTAGATTGCTTCTCATATACCCATAATATTATTACTTGTGAGATACTTGCCATTTTTTTCTTTGAAAATTTCTTTGTTCATATAATAACAATCCTCCATGAAGTGTGATGAGAAATAATCAACTATCTAAATGCAATTAAATATAACATTTATTTAATTTCTTATTGTTTTTAGGCAAAGTAGTTTTTTTTTTTTTACATAGATTAACTATTTTCAACCTATATTTTGAAAACATGCCTCTAAACTTTATCAAAACCAATGAAAATAACAAAGTTATTTAAATTTAGTTACATATTTAAATAATAATTACATCCAAATTTAGATCACATAGTAATATTAAATTAAACATTTATACTAAAAAAATTATTGGAGTGGAAAGTCCCAATAAGTTAAATTTTCTTAACATAGATTTAATAAAATTATTAATAAATACTTTCTAATAATAATATCTTTAACAAAATATCTTTAACTTATTCATAACTATAAATACACATAAATGTAAATAATTTATTAAAAATCTTACTTCAACTAGAAATATATAATAAATTTAAACCCATTTATAAAATTTAGTTAAAAATCATATTGGTTCTATCATTTCAAAATTTATTAAATTTATTATATCATCTATTATTAACCACTTATATAATATTAATATAAGAAATGAGTTAAAAATTACTCGAATCCTTATAAAATAAATTATTAAAAATTTCATATCAACTATATATATATATATATAATAAAATTATAAAATTTAATTAGAATTTCTAGTACAATTTTCCTCCAAAATTTAAGACGAAGTAATTGAAACTGAATCACATAAATTAAAACTGGGTTCTGCCAACTACTTCAGAAAACAAGTCAATGATTCTAACTAAACTCACAAGATGGAGAAGGAACACAGTTGAAAAAGTGGTAGCATTGATCTAGTTGACCCAATTGTTTTTATTTTTTTTAGAATAGTTGACCCAATTTTAATGCATGGAAATTTAGAAGAAGGGAACAAAAGAAAAATGTGACAGGTCATTTGATTTTTTTTTTTTTCATATAAAATGTCTTAATTTTAGGTTTCAATTATTAATTGAAGTTGATGAATCTGCATACCTAATAAATATCTTTGTCAATGAAGTCTAGCGTGTGAGCTTTTATAGACTTAACAGTGACATAAATAATCAGTCACAGAAACCTACCAAATAATAAATTCATTTTAAATTCATTGTTCATATGATAGAGATTCATCATCATCATCACTGTCACAAAGTCTACAACGCCAAATACTTTCAATTTCATACAAAAATTAATAATAATTTTAGGAAGATGTTGTCAATTTCCTTCATTTTCATGCATCCTGGTTTCAAATATGATTATTTGTCATTAACAAGTTTATATATGCTTCATATCAATATCATAATCACATACATAAAATATAGTTTATCCAATCATGAATTAAATTAATATGTATGATAAATATTAATTTTTATAATAATCATTTCAAAAACAATGTTTAAAGTATTTTCTAGTTATTCACATTTATAATAGTTTATATTAATGAAATATATAAAAAAAAAACTCAAATTCTAAAACTACAAGTCATTAGTTTTTTTTTCATTTTATACATTAATTATAACAATTTATAAAATTTGTATATCATCCTCATTCTCTTGTAATAAAAAAAAAGATGCTATCTTGACCAACCAATTTTTCGATTTTAATTAGTGTTACACATAATGACCTAATCATATATAAATCTCATCCTACAAATTAAGATAAACATTATTAAAGAATATTGAACTGGAGGAATTAAAGAATTAGGAAATATAAGAGAATAGAGTTCCAATAATTATCTATGAAAAAGTAAATCAAGAAAATTTGTTAATGGAGATATAATATCAAGAGTGTATGGAAACAGTATATCGAATACAATTCCTCTTGATTTACTTATCGATAAACAATTCCTCTCAATAAATCAATATATCCCCATATCCTTAGTTCAACAAGTGCAATAGAACTATTTTTCTCTTATCACCACCTTATCAATATGTCTTTTAAATTGGAGAATTCTATCATAATACTACAACTAAACAAAGTGATTTAACAAATATTTAAGTCCTAGTCCTCAGGAATTGAAATTTGGAACAAACAATAATATCAAAGCTATAGTTATACTTATCTGAACATGACTTATATATCTATTGAATAATTGGACTTCATTCACGTTAGCTTCAAGATGAAATCTAACATCTACATGTAGCATAAATAATCTCATGCTTCAATATATGAAAAAGGGTTGATAACATATCACATGAAGATTGGCTAAGACCATGTAAACACATAATATTTTCTCCTAAATTGTTCTCACCATCAGTGAGGCAGAATGAAAGTTTGCTATTGATGAAACTATGAGGACACATTGGCTCTCTGAAGGATCATAAGTTTTCTTCTACTGGTACTCTCCACACGTTCACCAAGTTTTGCAAGATGTTCCATCCTCTTCTTCCACAACTCTGAAGAACTTGATTGATTTCCCTTCACTTCAGCTTCAACTTGATCACCTTCGGATACCTCAACACTTTTGTCATCTGCAGGGTGCTCTACATCAGAATCTTGGATTATCTGCTTCAGTCTCTCCACCACCTGCCTCATCGTTGGCCGATCTTTTGCACTCTTTCGCAGGCAATGATCGGCGAGTTTGGCGAGTTTTCGCGCTCCATTGATGGAATACTCTCCTTCAAGACGCGGATCGATTATTGTGTCAAACTTCTTGCTATCAGGAGGGTATTGCTTCACCCACTCCACCAGTTTCTTCTCTGATTTAGGCCTGTTTCTTTCCATTGAACGCCTGCCAGTAAGCATTTCATATAGCACCACCCCAAAACTCCACACATCACTCTTGGCTGTGAGATGGCCTGTCTCAATGTAATCTGGAGCTGCATAACCATATGTTCCCATCACCTAGCATGAAAACAAGTTTACATAAACACAGTACAATTTTGATGATCTTGCATTTAGTGTTCTATGACTTTTTATAAGTCATATGTGTAACTACATAAGAACGAGTAAGATATGAAATGATTATGTACAAGAAGATATTGGTTTGACATTGATCAAGGAAGAATGATAGAAAATCCACTAAAGTAGCCAAGACACATGCAAAGAAGGCCATTGACAGCATCAGATAGAAAGGTCTACAATTTCAAAGTTTTTAGCCCCTTGTGGAAAAGGGGAGAAGGAAAACCAGCAAAGACATAACAGAAAATCAAGAGGGATGTTGGGGTGAATAATATGCTTGAGAATTTAGACATCAAGTGATTTCAATGCATTCATGCTATCCATGTAACCGATCTCAGCTGGTAGGATAAGACTTTTGTTGTTGAATATTTGATAAGTCATGTTTACAAATAGTAACGTTAAGTTTAGAATCTACGCAGAAAAATGTATGCAATGTGCTAACTAACTCTACTGAATATGGCATGGCACTTACAGCTGTTGAAACATGAGTATCGCCAGCTACTGGCCCCTCCCTAGCAAGTCCAAAATCAGAAAGCTTTGGCTTAAAGTCGTCATCCAGTAATACATTTGATGATTTAAAATCTCGATATATTACCTAGAGAATTAGCATACAAATTGTTAAAAGCAGGGGAAGAAAAGTTCAGGAGATAGAAATACAAATTAAAAGCTATCTAACACTGAGAAAAGCAATTCAGTGATATGTGAAATGGTAACTAAAAATGTGAAATTCAAGAGTATGTTATTACTGTATTGAATTGCCACTGTTAACTTATGGTCTAAATTTATGTATTATAATACATAAATTTTACTATAGCTATAATGATAAAATCATGTGGACAAATTATGCCATAGCTGCTTGATCACTTTCCTAAAAGGGTAATCTAGTTTCCAATTAATATGTATAGTTTACATGTACTCCAAAAAGGGAGTATTGGTAACACACCTTTTATTATTGATTGAAAGTTATTAAAAACTTAAATCATGACAGTGACTAAATAATTAAGAACTGGGATTGACAATTTTTTTTAATTTCTAGCCAATAGTAGAGAGTGAGTTCAAAAGAGTAGTATGTTAGAGAGTGTTACTAACTTTTCTCATTCCTAGAACCAATAAATTCTTTATGGGGTGTGAGATTTCATGTATATTCAACATAAGTTTACAATTTTATTATTTCATCAATTTATAAGAATATTCTAATTCCTGTTTTTAATACAGTTGCACATCATCATCTAAAGCATGTAAGTTCTAGATTTGTTCACAGAAAGTAAGTTAAGCAAGATATTATGCTTGTTCCAAGGGCCTAAATATCAAAGGAAAATGTGGTTTCCAAAATCAAACTATTGAAAGGAGGAATAACCTAGGTCCCAGAGGTTTCATCACCAGATTAAAAAACTATTATGTTATGGACACCCAGTTTCACCTTTCAAATACGAGGGATAAACTAAGCTAATAAAAAGAGGATATCGAAGTTTATGCCCTGAATACCCAAAAGCACATCGAATTGACTAAAATATCATTAGACAAAGGAGAAAAAGAAAAGAACTTTGTGAGTGACACTGTTAAAAGATAGTAAGCATCACTTCCTCAAGAGAAATTTTATTAGTTAAGGAACTTAACTATCTATTTTGTGTAATTTTATTAGTGTTTTACCAATACTTTTATTAGAAATGGAGAGGTGGTCATATTTTTAATCAATATAGGATCTCCAACACACCCTTTCACATTGAAGAATGTATATCTCGAGACAGTGGCGGAGATAAACCAACAAATCTCATAAGGATAAACTCTGATAGGCCTACAAAATCGACTTGTGAGATGAGATCTCTAACAACTTTGAAGATGCAGCTTATTCTTTTTCCTTTTTCTTTTTATCTTATTCCTCCTACTAAGGAGAAACTCCCTTAAAAGCTTAAGCTTTGCAATGAATGCACATTAACGATTCTAATTTCTAACATGTCTCCTCATGTGAAACAGTATTCTGCCTGAAACATGACAACAAATGTGCCCCCAAATACCTTATGCTAAAGTCACAATTCAATCATAAGAGTGGGGCAATAATGATAGTACTCTAGACCATGTGGTTGGTTGTAAAGGTACTAAAATGATCAGATATTTCTAAGGAGAACTATAATCATATTTCTTTAACTCGAACCTGAATTTCTAATTCTTCATGAAGATAAGTTAACCCTTGAGCTGCTCCAAGTGCTATTTCAAGTCTTGTTTTCCAAGGAAGAGGATAATATGCTTTATTGAAAAGATGAAACTCTAAGCTTTTGTTGGGCATGTATTCATACACGAGTAGTCTCTGGATGCCTCGTTCATCATCCAAAGCACAGTATCCAATAAGCTTCACGAGATTTGGGTGTTCCACAACACCAAGAAACTGAACTTCAGTCAACCATTGCTTATGACCCTACATAAAAGAAGGAAATTTTTTCAAAGGAATATCCTCATATCACCATATTCAATCAGTCAATGTAGAAATAAAATAAAGAACATTTTAGCTCCTCTATACTAATGATTACTAACAAATTTCAGCAATCCATAAATGACAAATATTTAAAATATAATTGATATTTCACGTTAGTGAACTTAGAAATACAGAAATCTTGTCTATTACATCATTAGCAGGTTAGAGTAAAGATCCATCAATATATCATAATCCCTTTGTACTTTCCCTTATGAATAATATATGGTTTCTTGATTAAGAAGTATCATACCAGACATGAAGAAATCCATATATGGTGTTACATTACAGTACAATGTCTGTGTATGTACATCATACTTAACATATGAAACATTCAATTCAATCCAATAAATTTTTGAGTAAAAAATATGGCCATAATATATATAAGGAAAATTATCTTATTAATAATTGTAAAAGAATATTTTGTGTTTGAATTTCCTCAAGAAAACACATTAATTTGCAATAAATATACAACTCCTAAGTGAGAGAACTTTTGCCCCTTAAAAGGAGATTATTTCCAACACTCACTTTCTTCTTCTTGAACCTAAGATCGGAGGATAAAAGAAGTAACTATAAATGCATAGACACACACACACACACACATTAACAGAGTAATGTAATGAGGTACTATCAACTATTTTTTAAATAACTGAATAACAGCGGAAATTAGTATAGTCTCCCACCATTAAATCTGCCTGATTTTACAAATGTTAAGAGAGTAGAGATAGACAGTGAAGAGGATGATACAACTTTATCTATTGGGTGAGACAAAGTCTGCTCCATTGAGGACGAGGAATATCAATTTAGAGGGAATGATAAAGAGGGTGGTGGTGGGTTGACTATCCTTGGCATAGCTTTCAGTAGATTGTTGTACATGGTAAAACAGACAGCAATATCATTAATGTTGACCTTAAATCCTGTTTGAGGGAAAAAGAAAATCACCCGTGTAGCCAAACTGCTGATCAGGATCCAAGGCTAAGAATTTTGATAACAAAATGATATGCAATAGATGGAGAATTTTTGTGAAAATCTATCAAGAGTATTACAGCTAAAAATACAGCTAAAACTAAACACCAAAGGTAATATCTGGCATTGAGTCATTGCTTTGTGCAGATCTTGAGATGGAGGTAATAAGATATCCACATGACCTTGCCATGGAAAGATCACTTCTATTTTTGTGAAAATCTATCAAGAGACTGTCTTAAAAAATTTCATGACAAGGTCAATGAAAATTTTACAAGAGAGAGTCCTTTTCCACCAAGATAGAGAACACATCTCATTAATGTATGTGACAAGTCAGGGGGCTATGGACATTGGCATTCATAATGAAAACCTCTAAATAGTCAAGCATCACATGAAAGTTGGGTAATTCTTCTAAGATGGACCACATCATATGAATATACAAAATATCAAGGAAATATAGGTAACAACTAGAAAATTGTAGCATGCTTGACCAATTTATTTAAAATGAATTTATGCTCTTTGCATTTACTCATCAATAAATGGGGCCCATGGCACTCTAAATGCTTTGAACAATTGTGGAATTCTCTGAAAAATTACGTCCCAAGGAATGTATCAAGTCTCATACCTGTAATGCATCCTTGTTGAGCCTTTTGACAGCAACTATAATAGGATTCCCATTCCCATCAGCAGGCTTGACTGAACCTTTAAAGACACTTCCAAATCCACCTTCTCCAATCTTAAAAAGCCTGTTGAAATCACTTGTTGCATGCCTGAGCTCTGAGAAGGAGAAGACCCTCAGACTGTGACCCTTCTCCTCATACAGTTCTGGTATACCGCGAGGTGACGCAGATGAGCATGAAGACTTGGTGACCCTTTCAGCCCCTGAAAAGTCGAGTTTCACTTGCTCTTTAAGTTCAGGTGCTGACCTTTGCTTTCTGTTCCTAGATTTGTCTCTGAAATAGTAAAAGCAATTCATTGCATAACCATTTAGCTATGATTGTTATGCACAATCTCTGATCAACCTGTTATCAATTCAAAAAATCACAACAAAATTATTGTCAGGAATAGATCCCTTGACACCATTACCATCTATACAGAAGAAAAAGACAACAAAGTAGCGAATAGCAAAAGAACTTCACGGCATAAACAATTAGCGATGATTCTAATGAACAATCTCTTATCAACCTGTTATCAATTTAACAAATCACAGAGAAAATATTTTTAAGAATAAATCCCCATGGTACCATTACCACCTTGAAAGAAGAAAAACACAATTATGCAAATAGTAAAAGCACTTTAGCATAAACAATTAGCTATGATTTTTATGCACAGTCCCAGATCAACCTGTTACCAATTCAACAAACCACAAATGATTGTCAATATTCAATCCCCACATGATACCATTACCACATACAAAGAAGAAAACACACAATTATGTAAATAGTAAAGGCCCTTTCATAGCATAAACATTTAGCTGAGTTTTATGCACAGTCTCTTATCAATCTGTCATCAATTCCACAAACCACAAAAACAATGATTGTCAAGATTAAATCCCCATGATCCCACTAGCAACTACGTAGTGAATGATAAAAGCACTTAATAGCATAAACATTTTGCAATGATTCTTAAGCACGGTCTCTGATCAACTAGCTATCAATTCAACAAATCACCAAAATCAATGACTGTCACGAATAAATCCCCATGATACCATCACAACATATAAAGGAGAAAAGCAAGTGAATAGTGATATGCATCCGCAACCCAGAATTGCAAAAAGTTTCAAAATTTAAGCAACCCAGGAAAACAAAAAGACTAATCTACAGAGAAAAGAAACCTAGAAAAGAATTCACCCAACATACAACTTCGCAGGTACATAGGACATGCAAAAGGAACCACAATCTGGAAGTCACACAAACAACACTCAGAAGGAAAAACAGGCGAACAAAGGGCAAAATGGTTGAAATTGAAGGTAAATAATTTAACTGGAATCCTCACAGGTAAAAACAGAGACGGACATGGCTTGGTTACTGTACACGTTCGAGAAGCTGGAAGTTTGCATAAAAGGAAGAAAAGGTCCACATCCACATGAGTTAGTAGTTTTCTTTGGCTTGTCTCACACGAATATCAATGAAGAAGAAAGAAGTGATAAAGAAAGTTGGCTCAAGTAATTTTTTTTCATTGATTGGTTGACCAAAGGCTACGCCAGCTTGCTCAAGTTTCTTTTTTGAAGTTTGAAGAGTGAAAGATGATCACATTGACCAAGCCTTGGATGGATTATCTAATCTTCATTTTTTCCTCAAAGACACCGTATCTCCCATTCACCGACTTACGTTGAATGTGATAGATGTTTGTTTTTCCGGAGATTACGTATGTTTTTTTTTAATCTTCATATTTAAAATATTTATTAATTTAATTTTAAAAATAATTACATAAATTTAATCAATTTATCATTTTTATAATCATAAAAATGAGTATTAATTACTAAATTTCAGTATAAAAAAAAGACTAAAATTATATATTACATGAATTCAATTTTTATCAATAAAATAAATTATTATTAAATATTAAAATTTAAAAACAAAAAGATTAAAATTATATTTTCAAAAATTGATAGAACTAATCTCATAAATAATATATTTAAAAAGAAAAATTAGTTAAACATAATTTATCTAAATTTATTTATTTAACTAATATTTACTATTCATACATAAAATTTAATAAAAAAAATAACTTTATCTTATCTAATACATTTATTTTTCTTGCTTTCTTTATTTATTTCGTCTTTTTTTTACTCTGTATTCGTTTGTTTCCTTTTTTTTTTTATTTTCTCCTAGTTTATTCTTCTCTTACTCTATCTTACTCTTTAATTAAAAATAATAAATTTAAATTTGATAAAATAAATTTTTTATTATTTTTAAAAAATAAAAATATTTAATAAAAAAAATACTATAATTTAATATATTATATTTAATAAATTTAAGATATTACATATATTATTATTATATTATAATTATTAAGAAAAAATAAATATTTAATTTAAAATAATTTTTTAATAAATATTTTTTAAATTACTTAATCTAATTAATTATCATAATCCAACCTAATTATAGCTAGATTACATTCCTAATTAAAAAATACTTCTAACTTCTCATTTGATATACGTAATTTTGCTTGTATAATATAATTATAGCTAATTTCATAAGATCTTATATAACAAAATATGCAAGTAAAAACATAAAAATAGTTATATTTTTCCTAAAATTGAGTGGAAATTAATAATAATAAACATAAATTATAATAACATCACTCTTTAATCTATTTCACCTATAATAATAACTAGTGCTTTCTTTATAACTCTTCTTTTTTATGTAGTTTAGAAAAACATTTTTGTAAATTTTTTAAAAATTATTATTGATTTCTTTAAGAAAAATAAATATGTGAAAATATTATTGTGAATAACTGAAAATATTACTATTTTCTTAGAACTTGTAGAGTCATCTATATACAACATATCAAATTAAAAAAAAAATCAAATCTTATGTAACATATTAACATTTATGTGAAACCAATAGTTAATTAATTTTATTCAATTTTTAATAAAACTTGTTTTTCTCTTGCAATTACACTTCTTTGTCTTTTTCTATAATATAGTAAGAGATTTATTCTCTCTCATCATTAATTCATCTTCTTTTTCTAAACCTCTTTAATTCTTATCTCTTTAATTCTCTTTCTATAACTTTATTATTATCTCTTTAATCCCATTTATTTCTTCTGCATCTCTTCTTCAAACCCCACTTGTTCTTCTTGCATGTAAATAGAAGGGTGTACTTTAAAATATTAATTAAAAATAATGTATAATTTAATGCATTCGTTTGTCAATATTTAGTAACAAAAGTGATAAAATCTGAACCATTTTTGAAATGAAAAGGTGTGTGCAGAAGATCAAACGCATCAAACCTGGAACACCAAAAAAAAAAAAAAATATATATATATATATATATATATATATATATATATATATATATATAAAAGTTTCACGACTTAAAAATTGAGATAAAAGTAGCTGAGGTTGAGACACTCTCATTATGTAACTTGACATTTCTCGCTTCACTTATAGTTACTCATTAGTCAAATTCTCGTGAGGAAAGCTCATATACTTGGCAGGTACATGTCTTATTAATGTTATGGTTAATATTCAATGTATTATCTGTGTTTAAATTTTTGTGTGATTTTGTTCTTAACAAATTTCTCGGTAAATTAAAATATATATATATATATATATATATATATATATAAATTATCTTTAATTTTATATCCTAAATAATAAACTCATATACATTAATTTTAAGAGAAAATTTATTAACCAAAAGAAATTATTTTTTATTAAAATAAACTTTTGTTTTAAAATTTGAACCAGAGCAATTAATAGAATTGGAAAAATAATTCACAAAGACGATTAAACAATTGAAAAATTGTTTCAATTGAAAATATTTCATAATGATTTATTTTAACTTTTAAAAAAATAAAATACAATATTAATTATTATATTCTATTTCCTTTTTATTCTGATGTAAATTTAGTATTAATAATAAATAATATTAAAATTTCAATTTCAATATGATAAAGTTTTCATTTTCATATTTTTTTTATTTTAAATGTTGAAAATGTATATTGTATTTCAATTTTTAGTATCATAGAATAATAATTTTTGATATTATTCACATTATTAAATTATTAAAATAATTTTATTGATATCGATTCTACCTTAATTTGACCCAGTCGAATATTAAATTTAAAATATTTTAGAAAAAATTACTAATTAAAATTGTAATTATTATTTTAAAATATATTCATTCATAAATTTATCAACACATCAACTCAATGTGTTTTAACAATAAAAAGAGACGTAAATTGTGAGTGAAAAAGAAAAAGAGAGTTAAAGATTAGTAAATAGTAAAAAAGATAAGTTTAGAGGAAAGATAAATTTAAAATAATTGTATTATTATTAAGTATTTGACGTAATTTAGATAAAGTAGATACTTAATAAATACGAAGAAGAATATATGTAACAATTGTTATCATAATTCATATTATATATATTATGTCGGTGTTGAGGAGTTTTTATCCTTCAAGTGGCTTGAGAGATGAAGATGTATATAAACTAATGTTCTATTTAAGGTCAATCCCACGCTCGAAGTTATTATTTATTTTGAAGTTTTCGTTCGTCACAATTTTTTCTTTAAAAGACGCCTCAGTGAGTTGATAGAGAACGGTGTATATAAACTATCATTGACCTCAACTCTTAAGAGATATGAAACACATAAACGTCAATTTTATACATATATAATTTATCAAAATATATTATTATTCATTTGAGTCTTATTTAAAATTTGGTTAATTACTTAATTAGTCCATATAATTTTTCAGATTTAATTTGATAATTAACATTCAAATTAGTCCAAGGATATCCTTGGCCATCACATTTTAGTCATTTTTAATTTCTTTTAATCTTTCCAATTTAAACTCTTAAACAAATAAATATTTTTAAAGTCCTATTACAAGAATTAAAATGAATAAATTTTAAATTTAAGTTTAAAAGGTATAATTTATGAGGACAAAATAAGTAATTAAATCTTACACCCTTTCTATATCACTTATTTATATTTGGTTTCTTTTAAACTAAACACGCAATTTTTTATTGTATTTATATATTTCTCTTATTTTATTTTATTTTCTTACTTACTTCATTTTTTTTAAGATAAAGTCCATATTTAGCAATATTTTTAAAATCAAATGGGTCACTAAACCGACAAAAACATGGTGATCCACCATATTTAATAAAATAATATTTTTATAATATGATAAATATATAATAAGTTTATTAGTATTAATATCTTTTAAAAAAATAACAAAAGTTATTATCATGTTATAATTAAAGTTATAAATATAAAATATATTAGAGAGGGTAAAATGAATAATTATTAAAATAAAATAAAAATATAATAAAATAAATTATTATTTAAAGTTGACGTAATTAATGAGATAAAAAAAATTTAAAATATATTATATCTTTCGTAAAAAAAAAGTTATATTAAAAAAAATTATCTTAACTTTATTTTTGTTATCGTAGAAAACTTGGTTCATTTATTACTTTGAAGATAAAAAAGATAAATATATAGATTTAGTTTTACAACTGATGAACTAGAAAATAAGAAAGATAACACTCACATACTAACAAAGATAATACCCCACGTACTAACAAAGATAATACCCCACATACTAACAAAGATAACACCCATATACTAATTCACGTACTAACAAAGATAACACCCACCTACTAACAACTTGTGAACCACTTATTAACAGCTTGTAAACCACGTACTAAATTTAAATCACCTAAAAAATTTAAACTGCAACAAACAAATAAAACTTTATTATGTGTGAACAAATCCTCCCTTAAACTGTATGCTCTTGCAATAATTTATTTTTTATTCTTCAAGCATGTTCAAAGTACTTCGTAGATACTAGAAACTATTAACTTTAATTGACTTTGTCATTATGTCTACTAATTATTTTCCACTACTACAATAGTTCAGCTCAATAACATCATTATTACACAAATCTCTCAAAAAATGAAATCTTACATCAATATGTTTACTTCTTTTATATAAGATTTGATTTTTGGATAATTTTATTATAGAAGCTTTATCACAAAAATTGACAGTAGCTCCCTTTTGACAGTGATCTAGATGTTCTAAGCTTCTTCTAAGCAAAACACATTGGTAAGCACAAAATGCAACTGCTATGAACTCTGCTTCAATCATGTATAAGCTAATTGAATGTGGAATATTCAGTCTAGTAGCATTCCGATACATAAGGCTTCCTATAAGTCGTTTGAATAAAGTATTATCAACTTTTGTCCCTTTATATGTTTTCATCAACTTAATACCTGGAACAATAAGATTCTTAACTAAATTACAGTCAAGCACATGGAATTTGTCCAACATATCCTGATAT